AGCAGAGCAGGAGCTCTGATATCCATGTGAGAGACTGATGGAGAGAGATGATGGTCAGCAGAAGAAGAGGAGAAGGATGAGGAGAAACAGGAGCCCTAGATACCCATGTGAGAGACCCATGGTTTGGGATGAAGCTCTGGGTCAACAGCTCTGCACTTCATTATTCAGCAAACATTCTGTTCAATGAACTCCAATGGCTCCCTCTTACCCCAGGACCAAATATGAATCCCTCTGTTTGGAATTTAGTGGCTCCTGCCTCCCCTTCATCCCTTTCTAGGCTGCTGCATTGGAGTTTGGTCTTTCTCTACCAGGTCCATGATACAAAAAATGTCAATAGCCCCTGTTATGGAGTCATGTTTTGGTCAAAAGGAAATAAAGGGTTAAAGTTAAGGTGTTAAAGAAGATTCTCTCAGGTCAGGTGGATATTTTGTAGGACTCTCTTGGCCTTCCCAAGGATCTTGCTCTCAATTCAGTTGAATTCAGTTTTAAATGTGTCTTCCCTGTGTCAGGCTCAGTGCTACATGCTAGAGATACAGACGATACAGAGACAGAAACAAAATAGGTCTTGTCCCCAGAGAGCTTGCATTCTTAGTTCCCTTACCTCTGAGAGACTCTCCAAATTACCCTGATTACAATTGCATGTTGACTTTCCCATTAGACTGTGAGCTCCTTGAGGAGCTTTGAATCTCCTTCTTTGAATCTCCAGTGCTTAGCATGGTGCCTGGAATACAGTAGGTGATTAATAAATGCTTGTTCACTTGACTCGGTAACATGAACAGAGATTAGCATATGCAAAGTAAATATGTGGTAAATTTTTGTGAGAAATGGTGAGGTCAGCAAAGGTCTCTCTTTTGTAGGAAAAGGGCACCAGAGTTGTGCTTTTAAGGGAACTAGAGATTCTGCCATGCAGCAGTAAGAAGGCAGAGCATTTTCGGCATGGGAGCCTACCTGGTTAAAGGCAAAGTGGAATATCACATGTGAGAGACAAGACTATGGGGCCATTTGGAATAAAGGAGGTGGGGCAGAGAGTACTGTGAGATTAGTCCAGAATGAGTTTGTTAAAAGGGGAGGAGCTTATTACTTTGCACATCCATAGCAATCAATCACTTGTATGCCTCTGATCAATTAGCATTCTCCTTCTCCTTCAACCAGACTAGTCAATAAATCATCAGACAGTGTAGTTCTATGAATCTCAGCAGCCTCTCTCTCTCTCTGTCTCTTCCTATCTCTCTGTCTCTGTCTCTCTCAATTTTCTTCTTCAAGAAAACTCACCAATGATTTAGTCACATACAAAGCTTGCCGCTTTCAGTACCCATTAAGTATTGGAATTTGAATTGTAAATCTACAGGCGTCCCCTTGCCTTTTTGGCATTTCTGTGGAGTCTGTTGCCATGGTAACCCTTCTTCTTTACCATGTGACACCCCACTGGATTTCTCTCTGGGATGGTCCATCTCTGAGACCTTTTCAGCTTGATAGAACTTAAGATCATAAGGTCATAGATTAGGAGCTGAAAGACACCTTTGTGGTCATCTCATCTATCTCCCTATAACCTCCATTTTATAGATTAGGAAACTGAGACTTAACTGAAGAAGTTAATTGACTTGGCCAAGGTTAGGCAGGTAGTTCAGTGTCAGAGAAAGGATTTGAACCCAGGCTTCTGTTCTCTCTTCTGTCCTTTCCCATTCACTTGAGGTCAGATTGGCAGCCCCATTGGTGGCCATGCTTCAGCATGGTGTCTACGGCCTCCTAGCAGATGCTTGCTGTGTCTCAGGCGTGCCTAAGCACCCACTGATCTCTCCTGAGGCCTGTCTGGATCAAGAAATTGCACTGTGCTGGACAATACTTCAGCATGGGTGATTCTGCCTCACTAAACTGCTCTGGAGAGACTCAAGCCAAATACAAAGACTGGCCACTGTGGAAGGGCATGGGTCCAGAGTCAGACGACCAGTGTTCAAGTCCTGACTGACTCTGATCACTGATGTGACCATGGGCAAGTCACTCAATAGCTCTTTGGGGCCTTGGTTTCCTTATCTGTAAAATGCAACTGATCATCCCTACCTTGTCTCCATCACGTAGCTGTTGTGATGGATGAGAAAGCATCTTGAACACATTTGAAAAGGACTTTCTCTACAAATGCTATGGGGTAATGGGGTTGTATCTTCAGATTATAATCGTGACTTATTAATGAGATAATAACATCCCCTCGATATGTGAAAGAAGCCTTTTGACTTACCACAGGCATATGAGGAGTTACTGACTTACCCAGTCCCAACAGGCGAAGATCGGCCTTTACCTGGCCTTTACCTATCCACTGCCCATCATATACTGAGCTCAGTGCAGATGGTACCCATCAGCAGTAGGGGAAGTTCTCATTTCTGGTGCAAGCTAAGATTTATACAGTATCAACCCTGTGAGGTAGAAAATATAGGCATTATTATCCCCATTTTACAGCTGAGAAAATTGACGGCCAAAGAAGTGATATGACTTATCCTGATCATTTAGCTGGTGAGTACTGAATCCAGGTCTTCTGCCCTAGACAAATGCTCTTTCCAAAAGACTCATATCATCACAACTGCATGTTGATGAAGCATGTTTCCTTCCTATCATCAGAGAGGTGGCAGTCTATTGGTATAGAATGAGATGTGCATCTTCATATGTACCAATGAATTGATTCCTTTGCATAAGAGGCAGTGTGGTACGATGGGATGAGTGTGCTGAATTTGGTCTCATAGGATCTGGGTTCCCATTCCAGTTCTTCCCTTACAACTCATGTGACCTTGGCAAAGTTACCTCACTTCTTTAGCAATCTCCTTGTCTATAAAAGAGGAGGAGGGACCCTAAGGGCTCTTAGGTCCCTTTCAGCTCCTCAGTCGACAATCCTATGAATTGTACTTCTTTGCTACAAGGAAAAGGTTGTGTTATTTTTTTTTGGGGGGGGGGATTCCATAAATAACAGAGATGTGAAAAAATGCAGCAATAAAACATTTTTCAAAAAGAAGCCAGCGTCAGCTGAGTGTGGTGGCCCAGTGCCATAATCTCCGCTACTGGAAGAGGCCGGGGCTAGTGGATAGATTGAGCTCAGAAGTTCTAAGCTTCAGTAGGGATAGAACTAACTGAGAATTTGGGACGAAGCTTCCTAGAGTGGTGTGGGAAGAGGGAGCACACCACGCCTCCCAGGAGAACAAGGTCAAAGTTTTCTATGCTGACCAGAAGTAAGACCGGCCATCAGTGGGCATAGTATTTCTAGGCTGGGTAAGACTGGGAGACACGGTCTCAAAAAAAATCAGTGTCAAAGAGCTTCCTTTCTCTCTCATCACCTTCTAACCCCTAAACAGGTCCTGCTTTTCATTCTCCCAGGGTCTTGTTCTCAGGTAACTGTCAGCTAGTCCTAACTACTCTAGAAGCTGATGGTGAACTGAAGGTGCTGCCCCTCCTAGCAGGATCCACATTTTGGGGGGACTCCAGGAAATGAAAACACCATCCTCTATACCTGGAATACATTCCCCCCTTTTCACTATCTGTTGGAATCTTGCTCTTTTCAAGGCTCAGCTCAAATGGCACTTCCACCATTAAGTTATCCCTCCAGCTGAAAATGTTCTCTTCCTGTTCAGATTCTTCCTAGAGAATCTTGTTTCTCCTTTGTCCCTATCACATCCACCTTGTATTCTTCTTAACTGTGTACGTGTTGTGTGCTGTCTTGAAAAGACCCCTGGATATGGAGTGAGAGATCTGGTTGTGGATCCTGCCACTGCCACTTATCTAGTTGCCCTGACTCTGGAAATCTATAAAATGGGGGTAATAACAGCACCTACCTCCCAGGGCAGGTTGTGAACAGCAAATGAGACGATGTATGTAAAATAGAGCTCTTTGTAAACTTCAAAATGCCATGCAAATACCAGCTGGCGGAAGAAATAGCAGCCCCTGCTATGCCCTTAGCTTCTTGAGGACAAGCCCTATGCTGAAGCTTCTGTATCCCCAGTTACCATCACAGTCTCTTCCACATGGCAAGTATCTAATAAATGTTTATTTAATTGAATATATTAAAGATCCAAAGAAATGAATCTCCCACTAGTAGTGAAATTTTAGGCATCATGGGAGGCAGGAAAGGAGATATCTTTGGACATGGAGACTTTCTCATGCTCCTCAAGTTACTACATAGGTTGCTATTGGCTCTATGTATGTAACTGGTCTTGAAAACAGCTTCTGCCCTATTCTTCATCCTTAAACCCATCACTATAATAATGGGCTTAAAATTCAAACAGGATCAGAAAATGTCAGAGTTACATGGGACCTTTGTTGTTTTTGTTCAGTCATTTCAAAGTCTTCATGACCCCATTTGGGGTTTTCTTGGCAAAAACACTGGAGTGGTTTGCCATTTCCTTCCCCAATTCATTTTACAGATGAGGAACTGAGGTGAACAGGGTCAAGTGACTTGCCCAGGGTCATATTACTAGTGAGCTTCTGAGGCTGGATTGGAACTCAGGAAGATGAGTCTTCCAGATTCTATCCACTGCACCACTTAGCTTCCTGGTTAGGGTCTTAGAGATCCCTTAAGCCAGCCCCATCATTTTGCAGAATAGGAAACTGAGGCCCCAACAGTGGAAAGCTGACCCTGACAAGAGCTTTGTGGCCATTTATTTCCCACACCCAACTAACACAGCAAGTTAGATTCAGGATCTTCATTCAAACCTGGGTCTTTCATGTCTCGATCTGATGCTATTTTTGGCATAACTCACTCTAGGGATGGTCTTACATCTTTTCCCCGTTTCACTTGATTTAAAGGCTGACAGACTTGGCTCTCTTTAAGAGAATTAAATGAGAGGGAAATAAATCTGTTATAATCCCCCATCTCTTCCAAGGACCAAACTGAAACTGTGGCATGAAATAATGCATTCTGAGGTCACATGGATACGGGACAAGATGACGTCTTCAAAGGAGAGGGGAGCCCAGATGGAAATGACAGTTGTATTCAAACCATTTTCCCTCTTTCTCTTTTGTAGATGATGGCCCTTATTCAAAGGGAAGTAAAGATTCAGGTGGTGCAGACACAGCCCTGGTCTGCCGAAGGCAAAGTATTCCAGGTAATGAGTCCCTTCATCCTGTTTACCTCCATTCCTTTCATCGGTGAGACTTTGTAGAATTTATTGGCCCAAGAAATACCCCAGGCCCAAGATGGAGTAGTGAGTAGGATGGGGACTGAGTGATTACACAGTTCTGATAGTCAAGGCAGAGCCATGGGTAAAAGGCCGGGCTAGTGGCACCACATTGAGGAGGCTAGAACCGTGGGGATGGGAAGCCACAAATGTCAGTCAACTCCGTGAGGGCTGCATCAGCCTTTCTCCCATTCTGAGGCTGCTTGAGGGCAGTAGAGAAGAGTAGGAATCCAAGCCCCTGAGCCAGTGGTGGGTAGAGTTTGGCTCCCAGTCTGGCAATTATAGAAACAATGACTCAGGACAGACAATGAGATGGTGAGACATGTAGGACTTCTCTTTGCTGGAGCAGTGCGGCTCTGAGGTGGGTCACTTTCCCTGTATGTGTCTGTGTTCTCACTGGCTGTCACCCATGCCTGGAATGCTCTCACTTCTCCTCCTCACCTCTTGGCTTCCTTCAAGTCCCACCTTTTACAGGAAGCCCTTCCCAATCCCTCTTAATTCTCATGTCTTCCTTCTGTTGCTTATTTCCTATTTATCCTGTACACAGCTTGTTTGTGCATAATTATTTGCATGTTGCTTCCCCATTGGATTGAGCTTCTTGAGGGACTGGCTTCTGCCTTTTGTGTATCTCTAGTACTTAGCACATAGTTGGCACTTAATAAGTGCTCAGTGACAGACTGAATTAATGAACTGTGGTGTTCTTGTGGGAGCCTTATGTGCTGGGCTTCTACCAAGCTGCCTGAGGTTTTGGGCACTGAGAACACCACAGATTTGGGCAATGATGATTCAATATCACTAGGTCAGCAAAAAGCATTTACATGACAATATTTTCTTTTCTTTTCTTTTTTTGGTTAGCAATGGGGTTAAGTGACTTGCCCAGGGTCACACAGCTATTAAGTGTTATGTGTCTGAGGCCAGATTTGAACTCAAGTTCTCCTGAATCCAGGGCCAGTGCTCTATCCACTGCACCACCTAGCTTCCCCTTGACAATATTTTCTAAACTTTTTTTTTTCTCATAGGCTTGTGCCTTAGGACCCTGTAATCAGAGCTCATAGGACCCCGACACCTAATGGTTAGGGAGTATGCAAAGGGTGAAGATGAAAGATGAGTCAAAACTAGATAAGAAATCAAATCCATAGAAAAGGGGGCCTTGAAATGGAGGCCACTCTTCTCTTGGTTTCTTGATATACACTTCCTGCTATGGTAGTATCCTAGGATTATAGGAGTAAGTTTGGAGGAGCCAGCATGATCTTCCAGATCATGCAGTTTAAGCTCTTCATTTTACACTGGAGGAAACCAAAGCCCAGAAAGTTCAATGTTTTGCCCCAGGTCACATTGGGAGTAAGGAGCACAGCCAAATTGGAACCCACGCCCTCTGTCTCCAAATTCAGTAATCTCACCACTAAGACCTCTCTACCTGTCAATGATAATAGAATGAGGATGTGACCAGCCAGACCTAGGAGGTGGAGCTGGAGCCACTGCGATTAGCCTTGATGGAATACCGAGTATGGCTGGACATAAGGAGTAATCCTGATGCCAGGTCCTACTCTTCATCTGTCCTTGGTGGATTCCTACCCTAATCTAAGTGGTTCTTTAAGCATGGTTTAATTCTAATTCAATTGGACAGACTTTTATTAAATGGCTGCTTTGTAAAAACCCATGTACTAGATGCTAGGAGTGCAAAGATGAAAAAATGGCACAATCACTACCCTTCTAAAGCTTTCCAACTAAAAGGAAGAAAATAAGCATTTGTTAAGTGCCTACTATGTGCCAAGCTCTTTTACAATCTAATCTCATATGATTCTCACAACAATCTTAGAAGGTAGGGGCTATGATTATTCCCATTTTACAGTTGAGGAAATTGAGGCAATAAGAGGTTAAGTGACTTGCCCAGGGTCACCCAGCAAGTAAATGTCTAACTCTAGATTTGAACTCAGGTCTTCCTGACTCCAGGCCCAGTGCTCTATTCCTAGCCCCTAGAAAGGGGATTAGAGATAATAATAATAATAACTCACATATACAGAGAGATTTAAGGTTCACAAAGCTAAAATTATCTCATTTGGTTCTCACAACAGCCCTATGAACTAAGCCAACTAAGGCTGAGAAGTTAAATGACATGTTGGAAATCACACAGCTACCAAACAGTCCAAAACTCTATCAACTAGACCACATAGCTGCCCTTTTGTACATAAATATCTATAATGCACATAGTATATGTAGTATAATTATTCTGTATATATATATACACATACATATGTGTGTGCATACATATACATACCTATACATGCATGCACATACACGTATATATGCATGTATGTATGTATATAAAATTAAAAGTAAAAGAGAAAAGACAGCGTAGCATGGTGGATGGAGAACCGAGCTCTAAGTCAGGAAGACCTGAGTTCAAGTCTTGCCTCTGACTTATATTGGTTATATGACCCTGGCCAGGTCACTTAATTTCTCAGTGCCCGCAGACAGCTTCCTAAGACTTTAAATTTCATAACAGTTGCCTATATCTACCTTGAAAGAGGGTATTTCCTGAGTGGGAGTTACCTACACAGATGAAGTTGCAGATCTAAGGCAGAAAGAGCCAAATAAGATGGCTAGCATGAGTTATCAAAGAAAGGAAGCATCCCTTCTAGCCTGTGTGGCCAGGTGGGTTTTCTTAGAAGAGGTAATATTTTAACTTGGACTTGACAAATGGAGGTGCCTCAATAGGCAGGGATGTGAGAGAGGCGCAAGGGAGGCATTTCCACATACAAGGAACTGCTTTGTTGAAAGGATGGGGACAGGAAAGGACAGGGCAGGACAAAATACTAGGGAAAGACAACTAGCCCAGACTTCATTTACAACATCCCACACCACTGAACCTCATTAATGCTGGTCTCTGGCTCATTTTGGGGAGAGCAGAGAAGGAGAGGTGAAGAGCCCCATGACAATTCAGTACCTGTAAGTCAGCTTCTGAGATTCTGAGAGAAGTGCCTAGAGCAGAATCTTCCATGTGCCTACCCCATGGTATTTAGCAGGGTAGGCGAGGGGTGTTGTTGTTCAGTTATTCAGTTGTGTCTGACTCTTGGTGACCCCATGGACCACAGCACACTAGTACTGTCCATGGGTTGGTTTTTTTGTTTGTTTGTTTTTTTGGCAAAGATACTGGAGTGGTTTGCCATTTCTCCAGTGAATTAAGGCAAACAGAGATTTAATGGCTTGCCCAGGGTGACACAGCTAATAAGTCTCTGAGGCCAGATTTGAACTCGGATTCTCCAGACTCCAAGCCTAATTCTTTATCCACTGAGCCACCTAGCTGCCCCAGTAAAGGGAGAGATAGCGTGGAAATGTGGGAATGATGGAGCTCTGGTCCCACCACAACAAGCATTTACTGAGCATCTACTGGTGATCTTTCCATTATAGCATAGTGGGAAAGGAATCTGGGAAGGGTCCAAGGAAGAGATAAGCTGGAGGAGGGATGGTCAGCAAGTTCATGGCTAAGTCATCTGTTGCATGTATCGGGGAGAGGTATAGGATGTAAGGCAGAAGGTTAATCCTTGGATGAAAGAAGATAATAAAAGGATAAAGCCTTGAAACAGTCATAGAGAATGGAATGGGGAGTTAATAAATAAGGTTGATTGAAGACCAGCAGTTGTCTGTTGGGAGTTGTATAGCATGTATTTATGGTAGGTAAAGTCAGCATTATATGATGATTTTTGTCAGTGATGCTTGGAAGCTCAGAGCCAAAAGGGGAACAAGATGGTGAGAGTTACACAGGGAGGAGAATTCTCAGGGTGACCATAGTTAAAGGCTGATGAGAGATAGAAGGGGAGCAAAGTAGGAGGCATGTGCAGTATAACCACCCACCAAATGGAACTCATTAGGTTCCCTGCTAAACTCACCCCCTCTTCAGACTGCCCCAATTCTGTGGTGGTCCCCCTTATCTAGTCACCCATATTTGCAGCCTCAATATCAATCTAAGTTCTTCCTTTTCCCTTGCCCCCTTATGTCTAGTTAGTTTCCAGATCTTGTCAATTCTACCTCAAGGACACATCTTTGCATCTATCCCTTTTTTTCCACTCATATCATCACCATCCCAGTTCAGTTCTCATCTGGGCTATTGTAACACCCTATTAATTAATTAGACTCAAGTTTCTAGTCTTCCTCTCTCCAATAAAAATTCTTTTGTTGTTCAGTAATTTTTCAATCATATCTGATTCTTCATGACCCTATTTGAGGTTTTCTTGGCAAAGATACTGGAGTGGTTTGCCATTTCTTTCTCCAGCTCATTTTATAGATAAGGAAACTGAGGCAAACAAGGTTAAGTGACTTGCTCAAGGTTGCTTAGCTGGTAAGTGGCCAAGGCCAGATTTGTACTCACGAAGATAAGTGTTCCTGACTTCAGGCCGGGCATTTTATCTACTGAGCCACCCAGCTTCCCATAATAAAAATTCAACATAGCTACCAAAATAGAGTGTTCCTAAAGTCTGACCACTTATTTTATGCCTCACTCAAGAAACACCAATAACTTCCTATTATTTCTAGGATAAAGTAAACTCTTTGGTTCAGCATTTAAAAGCCTTTTACAATCTAGTTCCAGCCTACCTTTCTATACCACTTTTCCCCTCACTCTATACTCTAACCAAATTTGCCTACCTATGCCCCAAACTAGGCATATTCCATATCTTCGAACAGGCTGTTTCTCATGCCTAGAATGCTGTCTTTACTCATGGCTTGCTCTAGAAACCTTAGCTTTCATCAAGCCAATTGGTGATGAGACCCCTAACTAGAATAGCAATTGTATAATGTGTATCCAAAGTTTCCAAAGATTTTCATCCCAAATGGTTAAAATAACAACACCTGTGGTTATCTGGAAAATGTACTTATAGGACATGTAAACTCCTCATTCCCAATAATATCAGGTCACAGAAATGTTATTA